CAGAATACAAATCCAGGATCAATGGCTTCTTCCCCCTTATTACTCATTCTTGTTCCCTGGATTATGGGAGTTCACAAAGGGGCCGGAAGCACTACTTTTAGGCAGATCTGAGGGGGACTAGTGGTCATATGAAAGTCACGCCTCTGGACTATGCAGCAGTAAAACCAATTTGGTGTTAGTGTTTCTAAGTGTTACTTGCCTCACATTACCTTATTATTTTATGTGGATATTATACATGGCTGTTAAATTCAGAACAGCAACAGAACACAAGATACTCAGTACAAAATAACTGAGATTAAAAACAACATATTCCCATTCAAATCATTTCATTTCTAGATGGACTTATCCAGCAATCTGACACATTGCCTAGAGGAAAAACTAAGACCTTAGAGAAGGCCAGTAGACCAACAGGGCCCGAAGCAGTACTTTACATTCAACCAAGCAATTCAGGTAGATACCATCTGAGTTATTCAGCAGCTTTTATCTGTACTTTCTGATTTCTGTCATCTGGAACTGAGCATTTTTGTTCTCAAGCTATAGAAATGGAAAGTGGAAGCATTTTCTTCGCTTGGGATTCAGGTTCCCATTTCTTGCTTGGATGACCCTTGAATCTTTGTATCAAGGAGGCTATATGGGCATTATGGGCACAGAGTTACAGAGCTAGTTTTTTCCTCTACAGTATTTTATACTAGTAACAACCACCCATGGAGGCCAACCTCTCATTGCAGCAGGGTTCTGCTATGTACTATTGGGGTTACTCACATGGGAAACTGCATTCTTACCCAATTTTACCATGAGTGACATATTGGTGGAAAGTAGTAGAATTTACAGGGGTATGTACATTTTGGTTATTTATTCTTCTGGTTTCTCCCCTTCCTTTTGGTTTGAATATATTCTGGATATATTATCTATTCTAATAGATAATTGGCACTGTCTTATTCATGTAAGATTGCGTATTGGTGTGTTCATTTTTATTTTAAAAATGTTCTCTCCCAAGTTATGAAGAGATTTGAGATTGTGTAATGGATTTCGCCACACAGAGTTTTTCCTTAATGTTTCTTAAAGCCTTTAAATAAACTGTCATTACTAAGCATTTTCACTGGGTTGTGGCGCAATTTATTAATATATTTTATAATAACCAAGAGCAAACTGATAATGTATGGCCCCAGGAAGATTGAATATATAGCAAATGGGACAGGGGGCAAAATATAAAATTTCATGCAAAATGGAATTGAAGAAAATCAAATTCAACTTTATAAGAGAACAGTGAGGTGGCAAAAAGCATATAAAACATTAACATTCAAGTTTTCTACACTGTTCGTTCAAAAGAGCTGGTCACTATGAAGATCCCAAGGATGTGTGGCTGCAAAAAATCCTTTGTCGAAGCATAGCCATTGACACTTTAGTTTGATTCTTGAGTAATTCCAAGTAGCCAAAGATTCTTCATCAGGAAAAAAATCGGGAACCTTACTCAGAAACCTATAAAACAAATTGCAAGATCTGCTAATTTTTGCTGGGAAAGAGCAGAGAAGGCTGGAAGAAGAAAATGTAGCTAGTTTTTTTAAGCCCTAACAGAATAAGCAAATAAGGTTTTCAAATTTCAGGTAAGGAGAAAACATACATCAGCCCCCTGTGTGCTTTCTCTTAAGAAACTGATTTCATCTTCACGGTCTGTGAACAAGCAAAGAAGGCGTATGCATTTATTTTGAATTGGAAGAGGCTCTTGCTGCAATCAAAGTCCTTCAGATAGCTAGCAGATTTCCCCTTTTGAAAAAGACAGATCAAAAAACTTCACCAAACATTACAAATCCAGCTAATTTGCAATATAAAAAGACAAGGGTGGCAAGCTGGATGACAACTTTATCTGAGCCTAGAGAAATTGATTACTATGTTTGATTAATAGCAATGTTGATAATAGTTTCACTTGAAAGAAAAGCATTTATTTGTGGAGTTTATGTACAAGGTATACTGCTATCTGAAGTACAAATCTGGAAGATTACGAACATGCCTCTTGAAAGAATATATCTCAAAGTGTATTGTCCACACATTCCACAACACCTCCTGATTTGATGATCCCATAGCATGAAAAAGCATGTATATCATATTTGCTAGCTGGTGGCTAAATTTAGGGATCAATCATGTATGACTAGATTAGGTTATTTGGTCCTGAAGGAGCAGCCTGAAACACACTGCTTCTTATTTTAAAAAAGAGAGAGATATTGGGCTACATAAAGGAAGAAAAGAATCAGGAAATGACAGCAGAAAGTTTAAGTTTCCAAAACTCCCTTTTTTGCCTAAAAGAAAGGAAACTAGAGAAGCCTTTAATAATTGGTGAAAAGGGAGCAAAATACTGTCTTTAATCATTAGTCAAATGATGTTCCCATTTATCTCTTGCTCTGAGCCAAAACTTGCCCTTGCTGCTCTGCATCTTAACAAAAAGCCAACATTGAAAGTATTTGAAAGTATCAAATAAGTACTTGGTATATTAAATTTCATAATCTGCTATTTTAGATCTGGGTCTAAACTAACTAACGTGAATAGAATACCAGCGTGATTCTCGGCCACCAAGTGGTAAATTGTAATAAATTCTTTATTGGCCAAGTGTGATTGGACACACAAGGAATTTGTCTCCCGTGCATTAGTTATCAGTGTACATACAAGCAATAAGTGATAAATCATGATCATAGTCATTGTAAAAATACATTCATCATAAATCATAAGTGATTTAGTGATATAGGATGCTAATAAGCAATCAACATAAATCATACTTGGTTACTAAATAAAACTATAAATCGTAAGATAGAAGCAACAAAGTTAAAGTCACAAGTAGATAAGGAGATAGGTAATAGGAAAGATGAGAAGAATAATAGTAATACAGTCTTACTAGATAGTTTGACAGTATTGTGGGAATTATGAAACGGCTATGTGCACATTCTCCCATTATGACAAATTCTACAGAATTCATGGACGAGGGTGCCTTTGAATAATTCTAGAAAGGTTCAGGAGTGCCATATTTGGCCTGTAGTGACATCATCATCATTATTATTATTGTATCCCTTTTTTGTGAGATGCCATTGATTGATCTGATCTGTATCAATGGGGTTCAGCAGCTGTCATGGTTTATCTCAGTGGCTTTACGTTTCCCTCTTCTATAAGTCAAAGATTTTGAATAGCTGATGAGAAGACAATATGTTAAATTTAATTTCTAAGGTATATGATCAAGATTATTTCCATTTAAGAGTTTTATATACAGTATATCCAGCTGCCACAGATTTTCAAATGAAACTAAATCTCAAGAGAGATTCATTCTTTTCAAGCTAACTGCATTGCTTAGAACATGTGTTCATATACTTTACTGCGTAACCCATTCCATCAGAGTTCTAAAATCTGCATTTGTTTTTGTTTGTAGCAAGTGCCCCAGCCTCCCCTCGGGAAATGATCAGTTTAAAAGAAAGAAAAACAGATTATGAGTCAACCGGAACAAATGCTACTTACCATGGGAATAAAGGGGAGCATACTTCTAGAAAAGACACCATGACAGGTGAGCTAGAAATTGTATGTGATATATAAACATTGTGGAAGGAAACCTTCTGGGCCGGAATTGACTCTGTTGATAATCCAAATATACTTAGTAAGCATGTTTTAAGCTTTACACTCTGTAAACTACATTAAAGTCTTCCACTCAAATATTGCTAATCATTTGGAGGCAATAACTTGACTGAATTCAAGTTGTATATCTGTTGAATGTCAAATTTAAATTTTTGTTTCAAAACTCCAAGCCTTTAATCTCTGCACCATAATGTTTATTATAGGAATCTGGCATCCTAATAGTATTTCCCCTATAAAAGAAAAAGAGGTTCCTCTTTCTCCTCCTCCTTCCTTTAAAGCAGTATTTCTCAACCTTAGCAATTTTAAGATATGTGAGCTTCAGCTCCCAGAATTTTTCTGCTAGCATGCTTTAAACCGAAAGATGTAAAACACTACTTTAAACTGAAGGATGTTATGTATGAACTATTTATTGTGGCTTAATAATAATATTGGAGAGTACACACAATCATCTCTAGCTATTGTTGTGTTTTGGCAGAGATTATAATACTGTAATTCATCCCATGTGGAGTAAATCACTGCTTGTGACAAACTAAGTTTTTTTTTTTTACAGTTCTGCATTATCTTTAGGGAATATAATTTTTTCTCTTTAACAAATGCTAAATAGCTTTTTCCGACAAAGTTTTTTGGCTTAATTTTATTGTTGTGTTTATTGCTGTTTAAAAATGCAAAGTTTATGCTGTTTTCTGAAAAGGGACATAAAAGAGTTCTATGAGGTATTTCTTTCATTTCAAAATAAAAGTCCTTAACATTGCATGGCAGAAGAGCATACTGAATGCCACCCAACCACAGATAAACTGTCTAATACATTTGGGAAGATGACATGAAAAATCAGCATTTATTTAGAAATATTTTGTTTCAAAAAGTAGCTTAGAGTAGATTTCATTTCAGCTGCATATAAGGATACTAATACTATCCAGATATTTCAGTCTACAAATTCCATAATCCACTGTCTTTGGCTGCGGTTGATGGGAGTCAGACATTTGGGGGGTCTGAGAGCATTATACATAGAACACATCAAGTTGGGAAAGGATGATTTAATGCCATATCTTTATTGGTGATTATAACCTCACTCATTTGTTTAAATTCATTATACAGTATGAGCTTCTTTGCCTTTCCAGATGTTATATCTGTGACATCATCTGGAAGAATTCTAATACCGCATATGTATAAATGCAGTGACCTCTTTTGGGCAAACAGTTGCACTTTACATACAGACATCGTCTTTTCTCCTTATGCTACCATAAAACAGAGAAAAAGCTCACTGTTGCCCTGGTGGGAAGAGAAAAAAGGGAATCTGCATTGGTCTATGTCCATTCATTTCTTCAAAATTCCGCCATTTATCAGCCTGAATGTTTTAGTTTTGTCTGGCTATTATGCTAGTAAGAAATTGCTATTTTAGCAACTAATGTTATTGATTTTAAGGATATTTTTTTAGTCATGGGTAGTCAGCTAAATCAGTGGCTCGCAATCTTTTCAGCGCCAGGGACCAATTCTGTGAAGGGTGGTTTTTCTGCAGACCAGGGAGGCATGGTTTCGTCCTCTGCCTGGATCCTGTGTGTGCGCGAATGGGGTTTTGCTCGCTTGTGCGGCCTGGTTCCTGGTGAGCCACGGACTGGTGTCAGTCCATGGACTTGGGGGTTGGGGACCCCTGAGCTAAATGATATCCTGTCAGTTGTGAAGTTCTGTACCAGCTTATTACTTCTTCCTCACTATAGGAACAATTTTATCTTTATTACACATCCTCTATTAACCTCTTTTTTCAGCAGAATAAAGTTATATCAGTGGCTTTCTGGGATGAATATGAGAGTATGGTCACCATACACAGAGCAAAGGGAGTTTAGTTTTCTATTCATCAGTCTCTACAGGGAATATTTTAAGGAGACTAAAACAATTTGCTTGGAGAAAAGGGTAATATTTATCAATTTTATTGACAAGCCATAGACAGGTGTGGCACAGAACTAACTTTAACCTGAAGCTAATCATCTCTCAATGTTTTAAAGTTATTATAATAGGAATAATAGGAAGTTTCCTAATAATAAGAACACCTGTAGATGGTATCATATAAACAAGAGATTTTCAAATTCCACCAGCATGAAAAATCTGTTAATTAAAAAAATTAATTAATCAGAGGCAAAGCCATAATGAGCACAAACATCCTTCTAGGAAGAGAGAGGCTCCAAGATAAGCTGACAAGCCTTGCCTTTTCTACTATATCTTTAAAAAAATCTTATATATATCCTTGGTTATCTTTGAATAAAAAAAATTTTTTTTTTGGTCCTCATTTTCTCACAGAATCCCATCAAATTCTTGGAGCAGTTGAAATATCCTTACCTAAATATATATTTTGAGGGAGTAAAAAGACAAGCTGGAGGAAAACTATTTAAAAACATTAGGTTATTGAGTGTTAACTGTAGTAAAACCAAATGAGTTCACTGCTCTAGATTATGATGCTTGACAGCTGTTCCTTTCAGTAATTTTGTTTGATAATAGGAAACCAGTCTCTCATCATTCTAAGCTTCTTGGTAAACAGCAATTCCATTACATCATACCATGACACCATGTGCTATACTATACCCCAAATGTCATCTAATAAAGCCAAAGGATGAAATGAACTCTTCGAGAACAATAGTTCTGATCATCTGAAGCCCATGAATCCTTCAGTAGATAATTGATTCATCAAGAGGTAGAAGAACTTCGAGGAACCACAAAACAGCAACAGATAAGGTACTGTTTAGAATTGGATTTTACTGTTTAAGAGCCCATTTTAGCTTCTTCCCTAGTGTAAAATAATACCACACATTTCTTGTGCTGACTCTTCATATTTCTGATGTTATGGGTGTAGAGTTAAGGCCTTGTTGAAGCAAATTTATAGTGGGATCTGCTGCTTTTATACCATCTTATCACTCACTATCCCTCAGTGCATGCCTGGGTTGTGTGTATAAGTATATGACTGACTGCTTCTTACAAAGCTATAAGTACAGTCTTGCTTGTTGGAATCTAATTGAGCAGTATAAAAGGCCAGACTGATGTAGTGCTACAGTGGGAGCATATTTATTAACCTGTTCCATGCAAAGGTAGCTAGTCTATCGTTTTCTTTTCTCACTTTTTAACTAGCGACTTTTGGCAGGATTTTGTTATTCCAGTTCTTGTGATGTTTCTTTCTTTCTCCTTGTTCCCTGTCTTGCATTTTATTTGGCTAAAATACTGATGCACAGTCAAAGGTAGGGGTCTCATTTTTGCTCTGCCAGATTATGAGACTAGACATTCAAGCCAAAACAAATGTCATCTGTAATAGCTTGTGTTGTCTGGTTATGAACAGAGATTACAAATCTTATTTGTTTTTACAGGCTACCAGAGCAGAGCTTGTGGCACATGATTACCACATCAAATCTGAAGAGTAGATGAAGACTAAATGAACTAACAATTATTCTGTTTGCTTATGTATGAAATGAATTACCATCTTGAGAAAGAGCCTTCGACTAACATGAAAGAAAACCAGAATCAACCAAACTTTAAACAGTTCAATAAAGCATGATATGAAATCTCAGCATTGTGAGCCTTTCTTTTTAAACTCTGACAGATAATTTGCAGTAATATTTTTTTAAGTCTTGATCACAGCTTCAGTGTACTTGGTACAGGAGACTGTTAGGAATATAGAGCCACTCTTACGTTTGAAGCAGCTCTGGTGAGAAAAGGGAGGGAAATTGTAGAGCTGTAGCAAGAGCTACCAGAGACTGAATCCATTATTGTCAAATCTGGTGATTGCAGTTCTCTGAGTCAAGTCTCTTGAACCTGAAATTGCAGTCCCATTGTAAAAATATCTGATGTGGTCAGTTAGTGATGTGATGAGTTGCACAATCTCTTCAAAGCACTAGGCCTCTTCAGTCTTGTTTTGATACAACCTCATGTAATTTTTTTATAAGACCTTCCCAACAAAAGAACACAAGAGATGTGTCAAGACATCTTTTAAATAATTATGATTACTTTACTGGTAACACTTGCATTTTCAAGAGCATTTTGAAACCAACTACTACTCAGGGTTCCTAAACTCCTCTTTACTTGCTGGGAAGAACATAAAACCAGTATGTGTGCATAATTCCGGATACACCTACTATATGTTGGGGTTCAGTTTCTTGATACTTAATGGAAGATATTAAGGATGCTTGTTCTGGAGCTGCTGTTGTCTGTTTAATATGATAGCTTTAGAATCTTAGCATCAGAAAAGCAGAGCTAATTTTGAAGTTATTAGCTAAAGGTACATTCATTCGTGGAGGACTGATTGTTTTTCCCCAAAAAAGCTGGTAGGTTTTTAATTTAATTTTGTATCAGTTTTAAAATGATGACTGATAAATAAATATTTTAATTAGTTATTTACTATTGAATTTTAATATTTGCCTAACATGCATTTACAAATCTCATCACATCTTCTTAGATGATTTCCAGGTATAAAGTCAAAGTGAGTAAACACTTTCTCATATACATAGTGTCTCATGACTTGTTACACATAAATGTATTTCTGTAACACACATATATGCTCACAGTTTGTACCTTGATCGACATTTGCTGCTGGTGGACAATATCTGGGGGAACGTAAAGGAATACACTTGGCTGCCGGCAGCCCACACATTAGACTCTTAATCCTAACTGAACACACAGTTACTAAATAGAGTGCTATATTTGGCTTGTAGGCTTCAGAAACAACCCATACAAGTTATAAAATAGAGTACCTCACAGGAAACTGGAGATTATTCTCTCCTCATTTGGATAGGAAAGGAAGTCATTCAGTTTTCGTTCTAGTAACCATTGTTTGAATACTGAGAAAATTGCTTCCCCGACACCACCCGCTAGAATAACTAGCTTTTAAAAGTAATAGGTAGCCAGACATTCTAAGACCACAAGATTACTATCTATGTAAAATACATACACTCAGGATAATTATGTAATGTTCTATTTATATCTATAACAACTGGCACCAATCCTTTAAAAAACACTATCAGATATATTGTGTATGTCTATCATTGTATGTCTACCCTTTCTCTGGTTTTTCCCCAACAAATATGACAGCAAGGAAAGTCAGATTTTTTGGGGCTGAGCATCGGAGTATATAATACCTTAAATAAACAAAACACATTTTCCCAGAAAAGTTCAGGAATCAAATCTCTCTTGAACCAGGAGTTTATATGCTGCATTGGATTTTGAAAAAGTAATTTCTTGTGACAGCGCAATCTTCTTGATACAGCTTTAAACTGAACATTCATACATTTATTTATGGCTCTGTAAAGCACAGAATGATTTAGCAAAACATTCTTACACACAACTGCTCTTTTTCCAGTGTGCTGTCATCCCTTAATCTCTGTTCTGCTAATACATCTTAGACAGACAGAGTCAATTGTTCATTGATGTGAGATTGATTTCACAGGTACTTCTCACTGTTAAAATGTTTTCCAGAAATCTGTATGTAGTAAGTATCTGGCTGGCTTTGGTACAGCATAAAGATTTCTAGCTTCCTAATATATGAAAGGGATGAAGTACAAACATATCGGTCACATGTTCTTTCTTATAGATGATTCATGTGGGAATCAGTAAATCATTGCTAATAAAGGCTTACTGAATTTACCACCACTACTAGTTCACACACATAATTATCATTTTGTCTAGTAACATAATCCCTATTTCTCCCACTTCTAGGTCAGAATTCTGGAATCTCTACTTTGTATAGAAATTCTTACGGTGCACCTGCTGAAGACATCAAACACAACCAAGTAAGTGGTAAATCAATTTATTCCCTTTTGAACTAAAAAAAATGATTAATATAGCTGCAGTAATTTTAAAGAATCATAGCTGAAAAACTATTCAATGTTTCGCAGATATGAACTTTTCCCAGTCTGTCCTGGTAAATGCTATGTTTATCAGTAAATTATGGAAATGCAACTTATATTCAACTATTTTCCAAGCAGCTTTATTATTCAGATGCATCAGTACATGGCAGAAATATTTCCATTATTATGTTTGTAAGCACATGCCTTTATTTGCAAATAAAAGAGAGTGGAAGCTGGGCATTTTCAAAAAGTAGTTCCTCTTGAAATCATCTGAAGTAGTCTCCTAACAATATTATTAAACATATCTAATATATGTTTCTCACATATACACATATATACACACACATAAGAAAAACATGAGGCTAGGGGAGCTCAGGAAGTTGTTGATGGGATACTGTTGAGAAGAATGTGAGAAAGTGAAAGATAGAAACCAATATTAGAAATATATTCTCATGAAAATGGCAAACAGTAATTACATATTTGTGAAAAGAGCTTTCAGTGACAGATCGTTTTGTGGTAGTTTAAAAACTCATATTACTAGCTTTCAATGAGTATCTAAATTCCTTCACAATTTAAAAAATGGCTATCATTATGTAAATGAAGACACATAGTGGATTATGTATTTCATCTCCAACTTTTGTGCGTATCTAAGTCAGTCTTGATTCTACGTAGCTGATAAGACATGTCCCTGCAGTTTTCTTGGCAGCATTTTCAGAAGTGGTTTGCTTCTGCCTATTTCCTAGGGCTAAGAGAAAGACATCCAGATGGCCTCATGACTAGGACAGGGCTAGAACTCATGGTCTCCTGGTTTCTAGCTCAAGAGCCTTTAACCACTATACCACTTACTTAAAAGACGGTAGTGTTACTTTGCCCACAATATGACCTTTGGGATGACTGTTCCATGTGACTATGGACTAAATGTCTCTATAAGTAGCTTTCTGGCCTGAAGCCATTACTGCAAGAATGCAGCCAGGGTATTTTTTTAATGTTATATTCTTATATATATTTCTTATATTTCAAATTCCTTATGATTGCATAGTAAAATTTTAATTAGAAAAAAAATGGACAAGCATTCTTAATATTTTTCACATTCTGCAATCTGAGATTCTCCACCCACACATCGTGTTATTTGTAAAAGTTTAATGTGGAGTTTATTTTACTCCTTTTTTGAGGAAAACCTCTGTTAAAAGTGATTGCAAATGGAAATGTAAAGCAATCTTTGCAGAAAGATCAAGCAGAATAGTGACATTCATCCAGGAAGACTAAGATGTTTTCTGTAGCAGCTGAAATGTTGATGACATTCACATTGTCTGTCTAATAAGTCCCACTGAAGTGGAACCTCGCTCTGCACTCTAAGTGACATGGCAGTTTGTTTCCTATCATTATAGTCTTCCCTAACAAGCCAAGGTTTCTTATTCTGTTGACAGGTTTCAACACAGCCGGTCCCACAGGAGCCCACAAGAAAGGAATACGAACCATATCAGCCATTTCAAAATTCATCAAGAAACTATGATGAGTCCTTCTTTGAAGATCAAGTGCATCATCGCCCACCTGCCAGCGAGTACAATATGCACCTGGGGCTCAAGTCCACTGGCAACTACGTTGATTTCTATTCTGCTGCTCGGCCCTATAGTGAACTCAATTATGAAACAAGCCACTATCCAGCCTCTCCAGATTCCTGGGTTTGAGTTTTGGGCAAGAAAAAAAGAAGAGGTCCAGGAACTGTGCATGTGCATGCATATCACAAGACATTCTTTTCCTGCAAATTTAGTTTGTTAAAGCCTGTTCCGTAGGAAGGCCCTAATACTCAATCTGGAACAATTAAGGTATCTTTAGATGGCTAAAAGAATGGGAAACTAAGCGCGGGAGTGTTATTAGAAAGAGTGGGATGTGTATCTATTTCTGTATCTATAGAATCCTATCTCTTAAATATAGATATAGAAATATACTGGGGGGAGGGCAGCTTTGCAGTTGACCTTTTAATGTAGAGTTTAAAACAAATAGTACTGTACACTGAATGTGGCTGAAGGAAGTTAGGGAAGTTACAACGAAGTGAGTCCAGAGTTAAGCACAAGAAAATGAACAGTTTACAAACCTTACGGGGGACAGCTTCTCACCCTTTGTTTCCTCTCTTCATCCATTGTGAATTTAGGCTTCAAGTTGCATTTGGGAATTTCCTCTGTACAGCAAGATGTTTCTTGCCTTTTGTTAATGCATTGTTGTAAAGTATTTGATGTACATTACAGATTTAAAAACCAGAGAGAGAGAGAGAGAGAGCAAAGTGCATTGTGTATATTACATCAATGCCACAGTGTTTCTTCATCTGTGGTTCTAAATATTGCTTCAATTACACAACTTTGAAATATGTATGAATTTCCAGGGGTAGGGGAGGGGTTTTTTTTCTTTTCCTTTTCCTTTTTTTCCTTTTTCCCAGTATGTTTTAACAGGAGAAAACAAAAACTGATATTTAGCAGTATTGTTCGTTCTGATATGTGAATTTGTTTGTGGCAACTAAAAAAAAAAAGGCATTCAGCAGTTTCTGACAATTAACATTCATCATTCCACACTCCTTGTCAACAAAGTGCTTTTTCACTGCCTAAAATTTTAGATGTAGATATTTGAAATAGATTTTTTTTCATTTATACCAGTTTTCTTTATGATGATACAGTGTTAAAAGAAAATAAATTACAATTGATCTGTCATCCATATTTGCTAAGAATGTCTATTTCCCAAGATCCTTAATCAAAATATACATTCTTGCTCATGTATGTACGTATGTGTGTGTCTGTCCTCAAAACATGTGCATACTATTTTGTGTGTGTTTGTGCAGCATAAAATTGTGTTCCATCACGGTGTTGCCAGACATAATAGAATTATGTTTTGTGTATAAGAATCTGGTGGCCTTCAGATGAAATATGTTTTGCACGCTCATACACAAAAAGAGACAGGTGTATAGGCTTGTGTAGCAATACATTTGGGTATTGTTTTTGTTGTGTTCCTGCTCTGGAAGGAAGGCAGTATTGTAGACCTTTCTAATATTTCAAGCCAAAATGTTGAATGGGGGAGGCTGTTTTGCATTAGTAGGGTTGCTTCCTCAATCTGATATGGAAGCGATCTAAGCTTTGCTGACATTTCTAGCAAGGAAAGCAAAGTATAGTGCGAAGGCAGGAGAGGCTATGTAAGTTTCATTATTACAGCAGCCCCCTAAGTGGAAAATAACATCTGGAACATTAAGATGCTCTGCTGGCTCCAAAGCAAATCAGTCCAGCAGAAGAGTAAACAAATTTCCTAGAGACATCAGAACACGATGATGGGTTCTAATTTGTATCCTAATCCACCCATCCCCAAATAATATAGAAAACACCAAATATTCCTCAATTTTAAACACATATCTAAACAAATTTAACAGATGGGAAGAAACCTGGTCTATATGTGAGAAACATTGGTAAGTATAAGCAATCCTTCGTAGCACTTCAGAGGGTATTGTAGTCATTCTCTTTCACCCTGTGGTGGTGCAACACATCAGTCTACAGCCAAGTACTTCATCTGACATCAGCAATAATTTAGGTGCAGCATTGCACATGAAAAATAACAATAATCTCTGATTAGCCAAATCATTTGAAGCAGACCGGAAAACAGTAGGAGAATCAGATGTTCAGCTACCCAACTGTTGTGAAGTTACAATAGAATTCAATTAACACATGCTGCAAAATTAATCTGAATTATTTTAATATTTGGTAATTGATGGTCAAGTGATAGCACTACAGAAAGGAACTCTTTTGAGAATGTCATTTATCTAGGCTTCAGGCTAAATTTTATTTTAAGAAACAAAAGCATTTTTAAATCTATGGTCATAGGTTTAAAAAGATTGTCAGCTTTGGCAATGTTTTACCTTTAAGTACTAAGTATTTCTGAGTTGTCAGCTCAGAGCAGCTACAACAGAAACAAAGACATGTCTTGTATCATAAACAGGATTTAGTGGTCTTTAAGAAAATAACAAATTACTGAATTAAAATTTGAGTCTTAGCATATGGTGCATTCCTACGTTTGGTAGTATTTTATGTAACAGTCATGCAGATATTTGTTTTAAATGAAGGGGTGGTTGGAGCCCAGATGCTCTATTTGTTGCCTGCTTAAAATCTTGCAAGAACTGGGCAGCAAATGTTACACTCACAGCAAGTGATGTGAGCTCCCTAATTCCACAGCACCCTCCATTTCTGCTAGACAACTTATCACCCTGAAGTCTCCCAGAACTTCAGAAATTATCACAAATGTTGCACAAGCAACTGTGTTAGTTGAACCGTTGACCACTGATCCTTTTCCAATCTATTGTGTCTGTCCCATTACTAATATACTGTATAACCAAAAGTCACCAATGTGACAGGAATGGTTTTGGAAACTTGACTGGTTTTTTTCCCCTCCAGTGAGAATATTGTCCCACAAACAGTTTGAAGTATGAAATGTTTTCCTGAATAATGGTTTGGGTTAGAGAGAGGGATGAATAACCAAGACTGTGCTCTCAATTTGCAAAGGGTGAGACCTAGATCAAAGTAGTTTGTCCACTACCTCTCATGAACAAGTGCCGGTCATTATAGAAACCACTTGCAGTATCCTGGGATTTTGTCCGATCACTGATGCTCAAAAACCTTTGCAGTAAAATCTGTGAACAATTGAGAAGATAGTATTTTTTAATGTATTTCTCTGTCTTCTCCAATCTTATTGCTATAACAGGTGTGTGAGGTAGATTGGGATAAGAGAGAAAATGATTGGTCATAGGTCATCCCAGTGAGTTTCCATCATTAGGAATGGATGTTAGAAGCAGATCCAAGCTCAATCTTCCCAGTCTTAATCCTATAATTCAACTACTCCACTACATTTTGTCTTTATTTGAAAGGATATAATAATTGAAGAAGGCTTGATAAGGCTTTTCCCTATAACCAAAGACTTGGTGTAGGGCCAGAGATTCAAAGATAGGAATCATCATCAGACATAGTGAAAAAACAAAAAAAAATTAAGACCTGAATACAAAGTGAGCTAGCCTCAAGTGCAGACTGGGAAAAAAATCTGAAAGGGGTGTACGACAAACCATATACAGGGGATCATTAAACAAATTGTTAACAAAAATTAATGGCTAAACTCATGAACAACACTAAACCAGCAGGTCTTTTAAGCATGGTTTGTTGATCTATTTTTTTTATGCTGCAGGGCTCACCATGTGTTTGTGTGAGGTTGTGGGGGGGATTTCCTGTGTATCGGTTATTTTTGTTGGGTTTTATGTGTGAGAGATTCTTTAATAGTTTAGAAGTCTTGTGCATTTTTATCAGTTTGTTTCACTTTTGTGAGGTATTTTGGTGTAGGGTGTATGTTTGGAGGATTTTTGTGGTGTGGTTTTGTCTGTGTGTATGTGTGAGCATTTATGGATATCCATTCGAAAGGGTTTTAGGAGTCAGATAGGTGTTCTTGCCTTGCCCTTTTGTTCATTGGACAGATAAAGCAGAAGCAGCAATTTACGAATAAGCCGGGATTCTGGGCTCAGAATCAGTAATCAATAAGCCTTGATTAAAATGAACCATGGTGTTTCACATTGTGCTTAGTTGCCATATAAGCCATGGGTTGTTCCTTGGGTTGAGTTCAGATGTTCAAATAATTTAAAAATAAGCAAAAAGAATCCTAGCTTAGCTTATTGTTATGAGCAAATCCTAATTTCCAATATGTGTATAAATTGGGATTACTCAAGAGAAAATTGTAAATGTTTAAAACAGGTAAGTTTTGCAAAAGGCATAAATCAGACTGGCACTTGAACCAGATAGCATTTAAGATAGATTTGTATTTTCTGATTTTTCTGTCTAAACGTTTTTAAAGCTTTATTGCATTTGATTTCCCATTCCTACTTATTTTTGTCCTGCAGTAGCAAATATATGTACAGAAGGACTTTCAGCATGGAATTTTAGGATTCCAATGAATTGCCAAAACCATGTTCTACGTGGGCAAAACCAGTCCTTCCCTCCTACCCATCATGTAGCCAATTTAGGTTTTGCTTTGTGCTCTTTTTTTTCAAAAGGAAGAAATGTTACCAAACAGCTTCATTTTCTTCAGTCAAGTAGTAGCTCCTAAAAAAGAGGGATTTAAAAATGTATAAAATGTATTTGCTGTACTGTAAAAATGTTTGGTTTTTAAAGCAAACCATATTAGACTCTTGATCACTTGTGTAGATCTCAATATAAAAATTCATTGTTTTACTAAGATGCTATTTATGATCGAAAAGAAATGGCTTCACTATTATAATACTATCAAAACTGCACTATCAGAAGCAATATTAAGTTTAAAAAGTGGACATTTCAAGAATAAAATATTACTTAAACCATATTAACATTGAAACTATGTTTTGGTGATATACAAATTCCCAAAAGTTAAATAAATGTTGCCAGGGAAAATAGCAAAAGGATTAAAATAATACAATAAGAATCAACAGAAAACACTGTTTCAATGTACGTGTTTCTAGCATGTACTGAGATTTTCTATCAATAAATCCTGCCGTACTGTGGAGAACAATTCTTCATAGCAATAGCACTTAGACTTATATATCGCCCCATAGTGCTTTACAACATCCTCTGGGCAATTTATAATGTTAGCATATTGCCCCAAACAATCTGGCTTCTCATTTTGGAAGGATGGAAGGCTGAGTCAACCTTTGGTCCTGTCAGGTTCAAACTCCAGGCTATGGGCAGAGTAAGCCTGAATTACTGCATTCTAACCACTGCCCAACTAGGGCTCCCTAGTGCAGGATGTAAAAAAGATAAAATCAAGGGCATAGGTATGCAACAGTGACCTAGGATGAACGAAAGACTTCACCTATGTTCAATACCTTTGATATCTAAAAGGTTAGTAGTCTTATCAATATCAGAGGCAAAACATATTTTTTCAGAACTTTTCTATCACCTTCCATCCAAACTATTTTATCCTAATGGGCAGCCTAGGCTAGGGATGGCTGATGTGCCAATTCACTTGCAACTTCTGCCTAAGACCACCCACAATAATCTATGGGAAGAGTGATTTATATGGGGTTTATTTTCCATGGAAGAAAGCATGGTGATTACTCAAAGCACAATTTATGGCCCAGTTGAACAAAAGAGTTTATGTTCTACAGATCCTGAAAATGTGGGATTAAGTACATTAGATTCTCCCTTCAATAATATTCAGTATTTTGGTAGTTTGATTTAGTTCAAAGCACATAGCAAAGCTTCTCTTTAAAAGCACAGCAAAACATTATTATTCTGCCTCATCTTTTCAACCCAGTCTTGTAAACTAAAGGTAGCTCAATTAAAACACACACAAAAACTCTTACATTTGATCCTTTATCCAAAGGCTTCACTTAGTAATCAAGCATGAATTCCTCTCTTGCTTCCATCGTTAAAAGAATGTGACAAAAACCTGAATATTTATGAGTAATATAAAGTTTCTCTTTTATCTTATGTCATGCATATCCCAAGTAGCTACTTTAGAGAAATAGCTTTCTTTTT